ACGGTACCACCCATTAACTCCAGTTCCAGAGGATCTGATGATGCCCTCTTCTGTGTTCTGCAGGCATTGCACAACATGGGTGCACTTACACACATGCAGGCATAACACTCACATACATAAAAAAATTAAAAAGATTACCTGGGGCTGGAGAAATGGCTCAGCAGTTAAGAACACTAGTTGTTCTTACAGAAGACTCAAGTTCAAATCCCACACCCACATGGCAGCTAACAACTGTCCGTAACTCCAGTCCCAGGGGGTCCGACAGCCTCTTCTGACCTCTGTACAACATGGGTGCACTTACGTACATGCAGGCAATACATTGCATACACATAAAATAAAAATAATAATAATAATAAAAAAAAAGATTACCCTTCCCACCTAATCAGCCAACCTTAGTTGCATGCTGGGGACGGGTTGGGGGAGAGCCTTAGGATATATAAGCTGAGAATGCCAAGAGGCAAACCTCTTGATTGCTGTCAGGAAGTCACAGGATCTATATTTGAGTGTGGACTTTCCAGTGCAGCTGTAAATGGGTGTGTGTGTGTGTGTGTGCCCACTTTTCTAAGAATAACTCCCCCATGCTGCTTAAAAAAAAAAAAAATCAATCAATAAATCAATCAAAAAAGTTCATCTTTCAGAAGGGGTGTCCAGTGTCCATGTTTCTTACTACCCTGTCAGACCTTGGGCAACTACAAGTTTTTGTTTTGTTTTTTTTTTGAGACAGCGTCTCCCTGTAGCCCCAGCTGTCCTGGAACTCACTATATAGACCAGGATGGCCTTGAACTCAGAGATCTGCCTGCCTCTGTCTCCCGAGTTATTTTTTTTTTTTAACATTGCCTGCATGTATGTAAGTGCACCCCTGTCGTGCAATGTTGCAGAGGTCAGAACAGGGCGTCGGATTCCCCTGGAACTGGAGTTAAGGATAGTTCATAGCCACCATGTGGGTGCTGGGAATCGAACCCGAGTCCTCTGCAAGAGCGAGCAGTCAGCTCTTAACCGCTGCGCCATCTCTCCAGCCCCTATTATTTTTATTTTATGTGTATGAATGTATTGCCTGCATATATGTAATTGCACCTATGTCAAGCAATGCCTGCAGAGTTCAGAAGAGGGTGTCAGATCCCCTGGAACTGGAGTTATAGGTGGTTGTTAGTCCCCATGTGGGTGCTGGGAAAGGAACCTGGGTACTCTGTAAGAGCAGCCAGTGCTCTGACCATTGAACCGTCTCTTCAGACCCAGAGCAGTGGTTCTTAAATTACTTTTTGTGGTACTGGGATTGAACCCAGGGCCTTATATATGATGGGCCAGCACTCTGGCACTAAGCTATAGTCCTAGACCCTGCCACTTTTTTTTTTCAGAGGGGGTCTCACTATGTAGAACAGGCTGACCTGGTGCTCACGGGGATCCACCTGCTTATGGCCTGGGAGCAAAGGTGTATTATCACCATGCCTGGCCTCGAGATCTATTTTTTTCCCCCCTTTTAGACAGGGTCTTCCACAAAGTTGCCCAGACACAGCTTGAACTACTGGTCCTACTGCCTTAGCCTCCCATGTAACTAAACTTTTTGCTACTCATATGAATATGACAAAGACTCCCCCTTTTTTAAATTTATTTTTTTTGGTGTTTTTGAGACACGGTCTCCCTGTAGCCTCAGCTGTCCTTGAACTGACAGAGATCTCTGCCTGCCTCTGCTGGGATTAAAGGCGTGCGCCACCACGCCCAGCCAAGACTCCCCCTTTTTAAAAAAAAATGTACCCTCTTACAAGAATTACACAGCGATCACAACCCTGTTAAATTTCATGGACCATACATTACTACTGTTCTCCTCTGGAGAACATTAAATCTAATCTCCAAACTCTATGCTTCTTCCCACAGCTGTACCTTTATTCCACTCCACATCAGGCAAGTACCATCTTCAGAGCCTAGGACTAGTACAATAGTCTTTTTTGTTTGTTTTGAGATAGTCTCACTACACAGTCCTAACTGTCCTGGAACTCACAGAGATCTGCTTTGCCTCTGCCTCCCAAGTGCTAGGACTAAGGCACCGGCCACCATAGCAGGGCAGTGTAGTAATGTCTTAATACATCACCCACAATATAATTTCCACTCTCTGCAAAAAAAAAAAAGTATGACCCGACATATGGATCACTACCCCAACCCGTCAAAAATCCTCTCTCCATCTGTTGGTATTAAAGAAAAACCTTCCCCAACCTATCATACCACTCTAACTCATGTTAAACACTCCCCTCATTGGGCATCAGCTATCCTTGGTCTTCTTGGGAGATTAAAAAAAAAAAAAAAATCTGCCCATTCCTGTTTGGGCACCTGCTATTCCTTCCTACAAAATTGGTTCCTCACTCTCCCTAAAGAGAACTCCGCTCACTGTTAAGTCTTTAATGTCTATAGGAATCCTCTGCTTGATACCCCTATGCAACTTTCTCAATTTGTAATTCACCCACTTACTTTTTGTATCTTCTACTATCCTGTAAATTCCCCCAGTTGTCTAGGTAGGTCTTCAACTAGTGATCTGACTGCCTTAGCCTCCTGTACCCCAACTGTACTCACAGGGCCTAGCACACAGGCTGGTAAATAAACAGTACCCTGCCAGGCACTATTTGTGGAATGACCCCTCCCCCCAACTCATTGTCAAGTAGTTCAGAGCTTTGATGTATACAGATGTGAATCAATCCACCAAAATCTAGTATTTGACAAAATAACTAAATTAACCACATTTCCTTCATTTCAGGATGCCACAATTCCCAAAAGAAACAGGATACTACCCTAAGAGTCTATTCACTCTAAAATAACTGTTAGGCATGGTGGCTTTATCTCTGAAATAACATCAGGGCCAGCCAAGGCTACAAAGACCCTGTAACCAAAAAAAAAAAAAAAAAAAGCCTGGCATGGTAAGCACACACCTTTAATCCCAGCACTCCAAAGGCAGAGGCAATCGGATCTCTGTGAGTTCAAAGCCAACCTGGTCTACACATCCAACCGGGGGTACAGGGAGACCTGTCTCAAAAAGACAAAAAAAAAAAAAAAAAAATTAAATAAATTGTATGTCTGTGTGCTCTCCCAAACAGCCTAATCCCTCATCTCTGTGCTAATCTACTCCTGGACATACTCCAAGCTTCCACCCTCCAATTGATCAATACAAACCAGATCCCTCCTTTTGTAGGTCCTAATTTTACTTCTGTGTTGCTGAGGAGAGAACCAGGACTTTACCAGTAGCATAAGGAAGCATTCTACCACTGAACTACAACCCAGCACTATAATTCCTAATTTCACTGGCAAAACCAATTCAAAAGTTCCTGTACTTGACATATCAACAAAATGCAATGAAGAACTATTATAACCACCAGACTAAAGTTGAACTGCACCTAGGAGTGCAGACTAAACCACCAATCTTACCAATGGTACTTCACCCCAGAAATCACAAAAAACTCTGAACACAGGCCAGATCTCCCATTGAAGGCCTCCGTAGACTAATCCCAGACCTGTTCTCTAAATCAATCAAGTAGCCTATCCGTCTATCTTATCTCCAAAACTGGAGCTCTTTCAGTGCTACCCAAAGGATTGAAAAACAAATGGAAGTTAAAAGAAGTTCCTTTCTTTCTAAAGAATTTTTTTTTGCGGGGGGAAAAGTAGTCCTGGCTGGCCTGGAACTCTTGATGTAGGACCAACCTGGCCTTGAACTCAGAGAGATCTGCTTACCTCTGCCTCCCAACTGATGGGATTAAAGGCGTTAACCAACACCAGGCCTGGATATAAGTTTCTTCAAACAGTTCTTTTACAACATGCAATCAAGCTAGGCACAAGCCTGTAAGCCCTAACTCAGGCAGCAGAGGATCTAGAATTCAAGGCTGGCCTCAGTCACATACAAAGTTTTTGAGGCCTGCCTGAACTACTTAAGACCTAGTCTCAGGCAAAAGCAAACAAAGACACAATAAAGCCTAAATGGTTGGACTACAACACAACTTGTCTTTGTTGCCACTAACACTAACACATCTCTAAATAAAAAGTCTATATTAACAGGTCAAGATAAATAAAAGAACAGTATTTCCAGAAACACAAAAAGGGAAGGTCAACCGAAAAATAATAGCATGATATATGCCTTTCACTCTGGAGCCACAATCAAAAATTCAATGCAAAAGCTAGGTGGTCTTCAGTTATCATCAAGCTAGTAAAACCGAGTTTACTGGCTCCCTACTAGGACCTTACCATGTTCTGAGTAGCTTTCCAATTAACCACCTCCTACTGATGGCTTCCAACTTCTGGGCCACCAGTGTGGTCTGCCAACTTCGGCAGCCACGCTCCTCCCGCTAAGATTCATAAGTGCAAAGAAAATAGCAGATACAAGTTGCTTAGGTGCTGGGACACAACTGCTTCTTAGAAGTCGGACACACGCCAATTACTCTTAGAATGCCAAGTCGGCCTCACTTCCAACTCCAGAAAAAAGTGGAAACACTATTTTTCCGGTGGAAGATAAATTTGGATTGCTTATTTTGGCCACAAGGCAAAAGAAATTTTTTTTAAAAAACGGAAGACAAACTAACATTTAACATTTACTGAGCATCAGCCACATGCGTCCAAGAAGACAGAACCAAGCCACTGGGGACTAGGTGGGGGAAGGGCGTTTTAAGAGTTCGCGAAAAAGATTGCAAATAATGAGATTCGTCGGACCGAAAGAGGGAGAAGGCGGAGTTAACCGGGGTCTACCCGCCGCCGGGGTGCAAAGAGAAAAGAGAAGCGAGCGAATTGCTCGGGAGAGAAGGCGGCCAGGGCCTCTGGAGCTAGGCCTAGCGGAGGGAAGCCCTGAAGGGCGGGGTGGGGGAGGAGCCGCGGTAAGGCCTGCTCTAAGCAGGCTGTGGAGGAGCGCGGGGGAGTCGCGGCGCGCTAGGCCTTCCCCACACCAGTCCCAGCCGCCACAGAGAAAAGATGAAAACCCCGGACGACAGGGGCCCGTTGCGCTGTCCTAACTCCCATCAGCGGCGCTCACTCACCTGGGCCCGCCAAAGCGACCACAGCTGCAGTCTCGCAACGGCACAACCGGCCCGAACCTCGCCCCCGCCCGACAGCGCGCCCAGTGTCCCCGCTCTCAGACGACGGCGGCGTTTGCGTCAGCCCGCTGACTCCTGGGAAATGTAGTCCTAGTCCTTTCTCTTCTCGCCCACCGAGAGATCTCTGGAACTCTATTTCCCACAAAGCAAGGCGAGTGTGGGGCTCGCCGGTTTGCGTCACGCGCAGGCTGGTCGGAGGTCACGTGAGTTGCTGCGTCGCGTACCACCTCCTCACCCCCTCCCACCTCCACTCCCCAGTCGGCGCCGCGTGTGTGGTGAGAGAGACGGACGGAAGGGGCGGAGGTGTTGCTGACAACACTGCCCCTACCATTTTGGAGCCGGCCTCTACGGAGGCTGAGGGAGGGCCTGAGCCCCACCTATTCCCCGGCTGCCTGTGTGGTTGGAAAATCTTCCCCGTGGGAATCGGGCAGCTCGGCGTCCGCGCTCTACTCTGTCCTTTCCAGTTTGTGACCTTGAGCCAGTCGTCTCTCTTTTCTGTACCCCCCCTTTCTTCTATAAAGTGAGGTTCATAATTTGTGCCTCACAGAGATGTTAGGTGGCTCCGACATAGGAAGGCACTTAACGAGGGTCCGGTATACCAAAAGTAACGCAAAATGGAGAGGAAGTATAATTATAGTGGTAGTATCACCTCGAGGGACCCTTCAGCCGGAATGGACAGTGCCCTCTCCAACCACCACCTCCCACCCAGCACATGACAATGTGCCCAGAAAGGTTTTATGAGTGTGGGTCTAGGAAGTTTGTTAAAATGGGTGTTACGTGCCTGTTGGATCACAAGTTTCCTGAGAAGTGAAACCCTGTGCTTGGATGATTACTTTAAAAAAAAACAAAAAAAAAACACCTTGTTTTTAGGACAGAATCTCCTAATCCCAAACTGTCCTGGAACTCCTTATGTAGCCCAGCCTGACCTTGAATCCAGGCAGTCTTCCTGCCTCAGCTGCTTGTGTGCTGGGATTACAAGGTACGAACCACCAAACTCAGATGATTCTTAAACACCTTCAGAATTGAAAGGGGTTTTACAACAGGCTGGCTTCCTCCGCAGTTGCTGCCCTAGTGAACACCTCACATGGAAGGCAGTTAAAATGTCATCCTAACCTTTTCTAACTCCTCCCCATCTCTGTCGGGTATTGTACCTAGACCATAATTGACATGGCTTGTGACTGTGAGCTCTTTTGAGAACACGGATTATATTGGGTGTGGTGGCCCAGGCCTTTAATCCCAGTACTGCAGAGGCTCGCTGAGTTCAAGGCCAGCCTGGTCTACAAAGCAAGTTCAAGCCAGGTAGAGCTATGGGGAGACCCTGTCCCCCAAAAAAATACCAAAAAAAAAAGAACACAGATTTTTTTTCTGGTTGTTTTGTTTATTTTATTTTTATTTTTGTTTTGTCTTTTTGAGACAGGGTCTGCCTGCAGCACAGCTGGCCTGGAACTCACTATGTAGACTAGGCTGGCCTGGATCTCATAGAAATCCGTTGCCTCTGCCTCCCAAGTGCTGGAATGAAAGGTGTGTTCCCCCACACCTGGCAGGAACACAGATGAGAGGTTTATTTTTTTTTCTTTTTTTTTTTTTGGTCTTTTTTTGAGACAGGGTCTCCCAGTAGCCCCAGCTGGCCTAGAACTCACTATGTAGACCAGGCTGGCCTTGAACTCACAGAAATCCGCCTGCCTCTGATTCCCAAGTGCTGGGACTAAACACATGCGCCACCACGCCTGGCTTATTAAATTTTTTTTAAAGTATATATATGTGTGGGTCAATATGTATGTGTACATGAGTACAGGTACCCGCAGAGGCCAGATGCCTTGTACTCCCTGAAGCAGGAGCTGCAGGTAGTTATGAGCAACCAGATGTGGGTACTAGGACCTGAACATTTTAAGTAGATGAAGACTCAATGAAAAATTTCAAGGCAGGCTAGTTAAAAAACATTAGCCACCCAAACATGAGGACTGGAGTTTAAATCCCCAGAAACCACCTAAATGCCAGGTGGATGTGGCAGCATGTCTGTAATTCCAATACGGAGCCCTGAAACAACGTGGCTAGCCAGACTACCCTTACTTCAAGCTCTGGGTACAGTTGAGACACTGCCTCAATAAATAAGGTAGTGTGTGCTTAGATGAGGAAAAGGCATTTGTCAAGTCTGATGAGCTGAGCTTGATCACCAGAACCCACATGATTGAGGAAGAGAACTGACTCCTGCCAGTAGTCCTTGACCTCCACATGTACACTATGGCACACAATAAATCAATAAAGTGTAATTTTAAAAATAAGGTAGAGAGTGATTAAGGAAGATGCTCAGATTTCCTCATACATGAACACATGTACGAGTGCACCTGCAGGAACACATGTGCCCACATACACTCACATACCTACATACATACATACATACATGCACACACCCATACACCTATGCCACCACCCATAAATGTGAAAAAGAAAAAATATTTTGGGCCTGGTAAGATGGCTTAGTATATAAAGGAGCTTGCTGCCAAGTCTGCAACCTGAGCTCAATCCCCAGGAGAGAACTAACTCCCATTAGTTGTCCTCTGACCTCAGCATAACCTCGATATGTATTCCTAGCTGGTCTGGAAATCATTATATAAACCAGGCTGATCTCAAACTCACACAGATCCATTGACTCTGCCACTAGACTGCTGGGATTAAAGGTGAGTGCCACACACCTGGCTCAAATTTTTTTTTAAAAAAGTTTCAGGACTGTAGAGATGACTCAGCAGTTAAGAACCCTTAACAGCTCTTCCAGAGGACTTTAATTTTGTTCCTAACACCCATATAGCCCACTACAACTCCAGCACCCGTTTCTGGCTGCTGATGGCACACACACACAGGACATACACAGACACGTGTGCATAAATAATAAATAAACAAGCTGGCGTGGTGGCGAATGCCTTTAATACCGGCACTCGGGAGGCAGAGGCAGGCAGATCTCTGAGTTCAAGGCCAGACCTGTCTACACAGTAAGTTCCAGGCCAGCTGGGGCTACAGGGAGACCCTATCTTAAAAAGATCAAAAACAAACAAATCTTTAAAAAAAGAGAAGCAATCTATTCATGTATTTTAAATATGGCGTGTGAAAAATATGACATTCAAAGTCTGGGACTGGAGAGATGGCAGAGTGGTTAATAGTACTTGCTGCTCTTCCAGAGGACTGGGGTTCAGTTCCCAGCACCCACTTCAGCTCACAGTCACCTGTAACTCTACTTCCAGGTAATATGATGCCTTCTTTGGCTTCCACAGGTATTCACATTCACATGCACACACCGAAATAGACACATACCCATAATTAAAAATAAATCTGTTTTTTTTTTCTCTGTAGCCCAAAGTGACCTGGAACTTGCTATGTAGACCAGGCTGGTCTTGATCTTACAGAAAGTTTACAGAACTCATAGGACATGTGATTAACCAGGCCAGGAATTAGGAAAAGTGTGCTGGTGCACACTTTTACTCTCAGTGCTCAGGAGGCTGAGGCAGAGAATGAGTTCAAGGCTACCCTGAGCTACATAGTACCAGACCAGGCCAGGCAAGAGGGCTACATAGCAAGACCCTGTCTCAAAAGCCCTGGGCATGATAATATACTCCTATATATACAAGAAGCTGAGGTAGGAGGATCAAGACAAGTTTGAGACAAGCCTGGTCTACATAGTGATTTCCAGGCTATCCAGGGATACATGGAAAGACCTTGTCTCTAAGCAAGCAAAAAAGAAAAAAAAATAGGGAAGAACATTCCAAACAGAAGGAACACACATACATTAGCACATCCTGAATATTGCCAGGCCCCACATCAGCTCTGGAGAAGAATGGGAAATAAAGCACAGGGAAGCTGGTGAGACTATAAGAAGCCAGATTCCACTGATTCTCACTCATCATATGTATTGAAACTGCCTATCATATGCCTGTGTCTCCTACAGAGAGCCAGCTTCTAGAAAGGAAGAATCCCAGATCTCAGCAATGGGTTAAGCAGAGACTGACAACAGTAAATGTGTATGGACTTTTCTTAGATGTTCCTTCCCAGCTTCTGTTAGTTCTTCTGTCTTGCTCCACCAGGTTCATCTCAAAGGAATACTCTTGCCATCTCTTCTACCTTCTTGTATCAAAGTACAATGCATTCTTCCCCAAGAACATCTGCTAAATCACCTATGTCCCTGTTTCAGGCCTTCACGTGTCATAAGACATACAAATTACTTAGAATAATGCCTTGGCCAGAGTAAGAAGCACAAAGTGTTGGCTCAGATAAGACCTTGTCCACAGCCCCCTCGCCTCCTGCCACCCAGACCCTCCTCCAGGAGGTAGAGCCTTGCTGCTGCTTTTTTTTTTTTTTTTTTTTGGTCTTTTTGAGACAGGGTCTCTCTGTAGCTCCAGCTCTATAGACCAGGCTGGCCTTGAACTCACAGAGGATCTGCCTGCTTCTGCCTCCCAAGTGCTGGGATTAAAGGCGTGCGCCACCACACCCAGCAGAGCCTTGCTTCTTATGTGCAATTCTGATCATGTCCTCCCCTAGCACCAGTACCCTCAGGGTTAAATAAACCATCAATGTAGTCTCTGTGGGCCCTACAAGGCCTGTCAGTACCTCCACCTTTACCTTCAAAGGCTATCCATTGCCAATATCCATTGTTCTTCCTCTTCAGCAGACCCACTTATCAAAGGCCTATCTTGTCAGTTCAGGGTCTTCCTCCTTCAGGATTATCACAATTTTGGCTCTGCATCACCTGGTTCTGCCTTACACTGTGATTTCTACACAGCGCTCCTGAACTGGGAGTAAATAGAGTTGTCATCTGCTTTGCTATTTAGCATCCTTCTGTTCCTCTTTTCCTGGTAGTAATCCTCTGAGAAGCTACCCCTCCCCATTGATGAGCACATGACTCATGCCTAATCAGCACTTTTATTCCCTTGTCTATAATAACTGACAGGTAGCTCCAACCAGGAGAACAGAAAGGATGAGCATAGACAGGAGACCTTGGCTAGAACCACGAGAAAGGGAAGGGCCCTAACAGTTTTCTAGAATTGCTAAACTGGAAGAG